TTAATTAAAGTAGCTTTATCCGGATCTCTAGGGCAAGGAAAAGCTATCGCGACGATGGGACACACCTGCTTGGATTTTTCCACGGGCGGATATCCGTGGCGTCTCTCGCACACGGCTGCACGGCAATTATTATAGCAAGATAGCCTGCATGAGTTATGAGAGAGATCTGCATTCTCTTCTCGATCCTCCCCATAGGCTCTATTTCATATCGAGTGTTTAAATCTCCGCCCTCCACTCCTGCCGCGTCCACGTCTTGTCTTTCCTTCTCGTTGCGCGTATTTCTGTAACCGACGCTGGAATACGCCCTCGAGAGATCGACTCGCTATCGTAGCTAGGCGCCATCGTATTTCTGGGATCTGCTCTTGTCGTTGAGATTACATTTAAAAATGCAAAGTATCCAATCGTTCGAGTTCGATTTCGGTCATTTTTCGTAAAGTTATGTCCGATAAAATATACATATGAGATATTATCTAATTGCTATTTTGACAAATTGCACAAGTTTCCTTTGTTCAATTACTAAGATCCTTTTTATATCTTTCATAATTATGCTTTAGAATCGTGAATTAAATTTATCCTTTAATTAACGCCTTACATCGATGTTCTACGTTCTTTCTGTACTCGTAGTTAAATCTCATAAAAAAAGAGAAGAAAGAAGGGGAGGAAATACACTCGAATCGCGAGAACAGACCACGAGGATACCTCCTAATCTTAAATTGCGAAGAAGCGTTTCATAAAATCTTCGATGGAAACAACTCCGACAAAATTCAATTAAACGAAACGATCACGCGACGCCATTAACGACGCTGCCAGATCTCCGAGGAGAATCGAAAACACGAACAGGAAACTGTTCGTCAAAGGCGGTCGCGAGAGTCGAGGAAATTAGCTTAAACAACCTCTGAGGAAAGCTGCATGAGAGGCTTCTCTGTATATATATATATATATGTATGTATGTATACGCGAGATCTACGTCGCGGCGGGAGAATCGTAAATTGATTGTGCCGGCGAACAGGTAGGCAAGACTTAACGTAATACATTCGTCAGAAAGCAAGAAGGTGAAATCGAGCGATCTCTATTATTTAGCCAAGTGAAAACCGAGACTAAGTCGGAGACCTGGATGTCTTTCTCTCTTTCTATTTCACCAACCATTGTAAATCATGGCCTATTATACGCGCAAACGCGTGCATCGGTCATCACCAGGTGAACGTGGGATTCCCTATAACCGGCTGACGCGAATACGACAGCTGATAATTGTTTTAAAGCGCGCTTCTTCGTGTATCAGCCGATACAAGTGTCTAATATCGATATGGGAAATCCTCGCGTGTGAACGCTGTGTCCAACTGAAGACGCCATACTGAGTACACCATAAGATCATAAGTATCAGGACATTAGCTAGTTACATTTATCGGAAGATTCCATCAAATTTTACTTTACTTGATATTTTATGATACAAGACGCATATCAGAGGTACGAAATGATGGATGGAGACGAAATAACAGTAAAACAATAGCAAATTTCTACTTTACTTGGTATAAGTCGCGTATGATGCGAATGAAATAACAGATTCGTAACGAAATAGCTAAAAATTACAATAGTCCTGATACTTACAGCCAGCAGTATGCCTGATGCTTACAGGAAACTTCTACTTAAGGCAGCGGTAACGCGAGTCACTCGAAAAGATTGACGTTACGATACACGTTGGAATGTATTGTTTTCGAAATTTCTGTATGTAGATGCTAGCGCGAATTCATCGAGCACGGGGTTATAATCAAATGTACCGAGATTATAGGGCTGCGCTTTTCGTTTTCTCGATTCTCACGGTCCGCGAGACGATTCGTGTCCGAATGATGAAAGTGGTTGTTGAACGTGTATCACTTACGTAGATTGCAGCTACGCAATACGAAAAGCATCACGTAACCCCATGCAAGTTGTTTTCGAGGGACGCGAATGGCGGCGCGCCTC